TACTTTTTGCCCCAAATTTCGAGCAAATTTCAAGTAATTAAGTCAAATTGTTGATGGGGAGTGACCAAAAATTGTATGTCTATATGAGATGTTAGATGGGAGGAGTGAGAAATAGGTTTTTTTTTTTTTAAAAGGAAATTGAGGAGAATGGAGGTAATGATTAATCCGTAATTGTAGCGACCAGTGACCAACTTACAGTGTGGTCGTTGTACTGCTGGTGCTGCAAGGGGCTCGATGATCGCATCTCGAATATGCATAACAGTACAAAGCGCTTGGACAGTAGCCGGCTCAGCACTGTTCATTCGCGGATAGGTTGGGCAAGCTGTTGGTACTGTTGTAGAAGCAGCAGCCACTTTCGCAAAACTTTCTCTGAAATGGTAAAAAAAAAACTTCGTTATTAATTTGGTGAGGTCTGAAGGTCTTTCTGAAAGGTGAGGCGCTTAGATAAAACAGATATTCAGAAGATATTCGAAGATATTCGAAACTATTCGAAGCCTAAACAGAAGATATTCGAATTTTTTTACCACTGTGAATAATTAATGTCATATTTTGGGCAGTTTGGCTTGGAAATATTTCAAAAAAAAAAAAATAGGAAGAGAAAAAAAACCTCGAAATTCAGACAAATAATCAAAATTTAACGTGTGCTAAAAATAAATTCAATTTTTTGAACTTAAGGTCTTAAAACAGATGCAGTGCTCACGTACTTAAAATACTGAAGCATTTTCAGTACTTGACCTTCAAAATATTCAGAAATTTACAAAAATTTTACAAAAACTTCACCCGCTTGAGGGCCACCGAGGGAAGAGAAATCGAAGTAAGGAAAAAATGCATACAGTGTATGTTCGGTTGGATGAGCTGCATACAGCGGAATTGGTGGTAATTCAAGAGATGAAGTAGATGAAATATCCTCTTCATAAAGTACGGATTTTGCCACTGTATAAGAAACATGACTGAAAAAAAACTCCATTACATGGGAAATTCTTGGACAAATTACAATAATATCCGCGCCAGAACTTTCACGGGGCCGTATGTATTACCCACGAGCACGGAAGGGCTAATTTTTATGCGTTTTTGCCGTGCAGCGCTAGAGCGCTGCAACAGGCAGCAAAAACGCATATTG